TAACTCCATGTAGTTACTAACTTTAAAACTACTAATAAAGATATGAGCAAGGCCTCACCTTAATACCAAAAAAAAAATAAAAAAGAAAAAAGAAACAATAAATAAAACATGGATATAAGATGGTGCAAACAAATAAAGCACAAGATTGATAAAAAAAAGAGCTAATATTAGAGATAGAAGGATAGCCAACATCTATTACAGCTAAGATATTAGTAATATAGATAGTAATTTTGATAATATTAAAAGAGACAAAACTAAAAATAATAATATGTTAATAAGAAAGATTCGTAAGAGTTTAGGAGACATAGATAGAAATGAAATTCTTAAAAAAAAAAAAACTTTATAGATAGTAAAAATAATTAATCTAATTAAAATAAAAAACATATAGATAGAGTAGTTTGAAATAAAAAGTTATAGCAAAAACAAATAGAATTATAAAGCTAATAGCCTTACAAAGAAGAAAGCATTAAGCAAAAAGATAATATATTTAGAAGAAGTTAGCTATAAAAAGATAGAATACTGCCTTAAATAGAAAAACAAATGAATAAACATACTAGTAAGACTTCTATGTAAAATAATAAAAAATGCCAGACTGAAAACAGAGTATAAAGAAACAACAGTAATCAAAAATCTAAAACTAATAACAAAAGTAATGATCTATTTTTTTTTTTTTTTTTTAAATATTAAAGTGAGTACTTGTGACCTAGGATTTTATTGATAGTATATTCAACTAATGGTTGCATTACAACCATAGGGGGCAACTATGGAAAAAATGTACAACTAGCCACTTGTGCAACTTTAGTTATTGTCTAATTTAAGTAGTCTGCCCAAAGGTTCTACACTAGCTGCCATACCTGAAACCTACTTGTAAGTTCCCTATTTAACTACTTTGTTCCTGTATCCATCCACCTATCTACATCTACCAAGATGCCTGGGTCAATACCAGTGCAAATATGTCATGGTCACTAAGTCTTTAAAGCAGTTCACTCATATGAGGAACCTTTGACCTTGTACTAAACCTTCCAAAATCTTCTGTATCTTATTCTTACAGCTAACCTGATATCACTATAGCTGAGACCAACACTGGTGGTCAGGATGTACCATTTAATTGCTATGCCCTTGTAGAGTTCATCCCAACCCTGGTACTGACTTTACAACATATCTCTACTACTTTGGTATTTAATTCAAGTTCCACCAAGCTTCCAAATCAGATAGCCTAGAAAGGCAGGTCATAATCATACACCTTTGGTTTACATGTTTGCTGGCATGTAACCTTTTTTTCTAAAACCTGGAAATTCTAGCAGCCTGGTTGGTTCCATTCGGCCCCTCCTTAAAGGCCAGCTCTTTGCCCGGTTTCACAAGTTCTAGCTCCATTTCATAGGTCTAGTCTTTACAGTAGCACTATCGAAAGTTTGGGTTACCTTTCTACTCAGGCCTTCAAAGTGGGCTTCTGTCCTCCTATCTGGTTCTTATGATTTACATGACCTAAGGACTTATCTTGGGTTCACACCATCTGGTACCAGTTTGTGTTCTTTCATACAATGTTGCACAAATGCCTAGACCTTCCAGTCAGACTTGTATGACATGGGTTACAGATATTCTATTCCAACCAATCACAGAAGACAGTTAGCCATAATACAGAAAGAATTGCAAATTTTTGCCATCACTGAGATTTGAACTCTAGACCTGCCACTTGGGGGTTGACAACCTATTCACTTCACTAGGTCACTACACCCAAAGTAATAATCTATAATTAGATGTATTTTTGAAAAAGACTAAAGTTATTCAAAGAAGTATATTATATAATAAGAAGAAGCAATACAAGAAGAAATGCTTTTATAAAATATATAATAGACAAACTTTTGATCTTAAAAAAATTTAACAGAAAAAGGTCAAATATATATAACTGCAAAATATCAAGTTTGCCAAAACAAAGTTAAGAACACTTGATATTATATAAGGGATAAACAAGTTTTTTAAAAAAAATACAGAAAATATCTATTGCAATAGCATAAAAAGAATTAAAAAAAATTTGAGTTCTACTTTATATATTATATATAATATTCTTTAGAAAATAGAAATAGAAAAAATAGAAATAAGAAAATACTAATCAAGGATCTAATTTTAAAAATGACTTAAGACAGATTAGTATAACTTTTGAACACAAGAACAAGATAACAGTTTGTAAATATAATAGTAGAAACAGCCTGAAACACCTTTTATAGACAAGTCTAAAGAATATATTATAAAAATATTAACATATAAAAAAAAAAGAAATAATAAAAAAAGTTAAAAAAGAATATCAAAAAAAAAATTTAAGCAAAAAGAAAAAGATTAGTTAGCAAAAGATAAAGAGAAAAAAAAAAGTAAAAAAAAAGAAAAATAAACCAAAGATGAAGTTAGTAAAACAATTTAAAAGTTTGTTATAAAAAAAAGAAAATCTATTTATTATAAACTTTAAGTAGTTAGATAAACAGCTTATTTCTGTTTAAAAAATATAATAGATTGAACTTAGATACCAATAGAGTAATATTAGGCTAATTACAAAAGTAATTTTAAAAATTTTAATAAAATACTAATATAAAAGTTATTAACTAGTTGGTTTTTAACTAATGATTTGAAGCAATATCTTATTAAACAAATTTTAAACTATTAAGTTTATTTTTAGTTATATAATATTATTTATTTACTTAAATTATTTATTTTCTTTTATAATAAAGAGAAATCTGAAGCTTATATATTTTTCTTATATAAAATTAAATTATTATTTAATTATATTGCTTTTATATATATTATTATTTTTATTTATTTTTTTTTTTTTGATATTAAGGTAAGGCCTTGCTCGTATTTTTATTAGTAGTTTAAAAGTTAGAAGCTACATGGAGCTACTATGTACAAAAAGTAATTTTCTATATAAATGCTATAGCAAAACCAATACTTGCAGTCAGGGCTAGACCATTAAACTGCTAACTATATAGCTACTCTAAGTACAAATAAAAGAAAAACTACATTCAGAATAAAAGCACAGACATATTTATCTGTGATGTAAACCTACTAGAGTGGTCAAAACTCTCCTAGATTTGTAAGTTTAAAATATGATTAGTATTATTTATTTCCTGGGGGAGTAGAAATTATAGCAGAGGTTCCTAACGATCATAGCAGTGGGATGGCCCTTTGGGCCATCCCATATGCTATGATTATCAGAAACCTCTGCTATAATTTTTCTCCAGAAAATAAATAAATAATCACCAGAAGTGTGTCACTAGATGTTAATCGAACTGCCATGCATTATTGCCTTTACATGTGATTGACTATATTAATATTTTTATATCTTCGCTTGCTACACTTATTTTTGCTTATCATAATTTTATTACATGATAAACTATGAAATATATATATATCAATTAGAATTTTTATTATGCATAATTTTTACAAGCTTTGCTTTTCTTTTACTGTGCTTAACTTTACAGGCTTCACTTTTATAGGTCTATTTTTATTTTTAATTTATTTTAGCTTTTCTTTTTAACTTTTATTAATTATTCTTATATTTTTTTTTTACTGTACATTCTTTTTTTTACTTAAATAGAAAATGACTAAGTGTAGTTCTCGATTTGTTTCATCAACTAAAGAAGAAATTGAGGAAGTTTAGCAAGCCTTACATAACAAGAATACTGACAAGTTCGTAAAACAATAGATGGCTTTATTTATCAAGTTTCGTAACTTACATAGATACTCTCAAGAAATCATCAAACTAGATAATAATACATTATCGGATCAATTAAAACAATTTTTAGTTGAAGTTCATAAGTCGAATGGTCAGGAATATAAAGCCTCTTCACTTATACTAGATTTTCTGCTATTGCATGAGAAATAGCTGAAACTTTTAAAGAAGTACGAGTTATAAACATATTTGACAAGCACTAGTTTAGAAGTTTACATTGCACATTGGATGGTCGTATGAAATCAATCGTTGAAAAAGAAAACAAGAATCATAAACAATCAGATCTATTGGAAACTGAAGAGATTAAATTTTTACTTGACTCACCTGTTACAACAATTAATACTCCTAAAGGTCTTTTGTGAAGAGTTTGGATTTGGCTATCATTATTGTGCTGTTTAAGAGACAGTGATGCTAAGTGATTAAAAGCATCTTGGATTAAAGAATTAGACAATAGAGGAATGCAACTTGAGTTACCTAAAGAAAAAAATCATGCTGGTAGGGTTAAAGATCCATATGCAGAAGCTGACATTAGTTTTATTCCTTCTGATTCTTTAGAAAATGCATATACACCGGTCACTAATATTAAAAAATATTTATTAAGACATCCAAATAATATTGAAGATGATTATTTTTTTGTCTCAATTAATGTTCCAAAAAAAGTTTACCATGGTGAATGGTATCTGCCAACAAAACTAGGAAAGTGCTCTCATGATGCAATGATGCATTCAATATGTGAGAAGGCTAAATTGGATTTTAAAGGTCGTAATATTACTAATCATTCAATGAGATCGACAGGTATAAAACTTCTGCACTTATATATAGTGCAACAATGTTTTTGTTTTTTTTATTGTACAACTTATTAATACGTACAATTTGATATTTCAGGTATTCATAGTCTGGTTGAATCTGGTGTGACACTTGATGAGCAGATGCTTTTCTCATGACATAAAACAATCGCAGGAGTATCAGCTTATCAACATCAATCTATGAAACGTAAAATAGATAATGTTTCTCGTTTAATTCCTACTAAAGAAACAGGTAAATTTTTATTCAATTACTTTGAATTATACTTTTATCTAACTATACATTAAGTATTATTTATTACTGTTAATTAGAATTCCATTCAGTGCTAAGAGATTCAACGTTCAATCATAATAATCAAATTGATAATATTGAAAATTTAATTTTTTAATTTATTACAATTTTTAATATATAATATATATATGTTTTTTAGGATTTTCTAAAGCATCTGATTTACTCTCAACCACATTAAATAAGAAAACCAAAACATCTGAAGATAGAGAATTAGATGACCAAAAACCAAGTACCCCAAGAATCTTAATTGAGAACTGTAGTAATATAAGTATTAACATTACTATTAATACTGTATAATGAGCTTGTAACCTAATAATGCTATGCAAGATTAATATATAAAAAAAAAAAGAGAATGTATACAAACAATTTACTTCAAATAGCTGATATAAATAAAAATATCTGATTAAGTAAAGTTCTTGGTTTCAAGAATGAGAATTTAAAAAAAATGCCCGATCCGATTAAAGCATATAGCCCAAAGTATAAGAATTTTTAAAACAAATACCCGATTAGTTAAAGCTCTTGATTTTAAAGAATGAGAATTTAAAAAAAATACTTAATCTGATTAAAGCTTCTAGCCCAAAGTAAAAGAATCAAAAAAAATACCTGACTAATTAAAGCTCTTAGTTTCAGAAAATGAGAATTTAAAAAACATACCCGATCCGATTAGGGCTCCTAGCTCAAAGCATGAGAATTTTAAAAATATCTGATATAGTTAAGAATTTCTTGTCCAAAAACATGAGAATTGAAAAAAAAATCTAATTAGTTAAAGCTCTTGAATGAAAGTATGAGAATTTAAAAAAAAAAAATACCAATTTCATTAAAGCTGCTAGTCCAAAGTGCGAGAATTTAAAAAAAGTACTCTATCAAACTAAAACTTCTAGTCTCAAACATAAGAAGTAAAAAATATATCTGGTAGCATAAGAATTTTAAAATTTTCTTTAAACCAAATTAAGGTTAATGAATTAAAGATTCCTGATGATCATTATAAGACTAGAAATCTTCCATAGGAAGCTTCCTGGTCACAATATGATCATTATAAATATAGTCAATCATGTGTAAAAAATTATCATGAAGGTAGTTATGAGTGACACTTAGTGCAACAGGAGATTATAGGAAATATTGTATTTGATCCAAAGAATAGTCCAGATGTTAATTTTATGAATAGCATAACTGATAGATGGACAGGTATTAGAATTAGAGTGTAATTGGTTAGATAGTTCATATAAGCAAGAATAAGTATAATTTTTGTGATTAGAATTTCTTTTGTTGTTTTGGATTAATTGGGTAGAAGGTTTAGTATAAGGTGGTTTAAGTTCTTGTTGTTGTTTTCAGTTGGCAAAGTTTATACAATAGGGTTTTCATATTTGTTCATAGGAAAGTTCATTAACTTTAAGCAAAATAGCAATAATTGTTTGTAAGGCTAGTTTGTATAAAATGTTAAAGTTTTGTACAATCTCAATTAAGGATTTAGAATAAGTCTTTTAAGTGTAATATTGAGGTAGTGTTGATTTATTTGAAGAGGTATAGGATAGAAAGCATAGTGATTACTAATTTTGTGAATAAGTTTCTTCTTGTTAGTTTATAGATAAATCAAGGTCTGTATAGTTAATGTATTCAGATATGCTGGTTTAAATAATATTTAGAATGAGTGATGGATTTGAGCATATATGCCAATGGGTTGGAGAGTCGGCAAGGTTACAGTTGAAGCAATTAGTATTGTAGAATGTATGTGGGTAAATTTTGTAAAAGTAAAAATAAATAGAAAGTTCATTTAATAAAATTTTGATTTTAAATGATTTAAGATGGTTGAGTTTAAAGTTAGTGATATTATGAGTTGGTTTTTGGTTATGGTTAAAAAATAACCAAGTTGATCTTTAGTCGATTTGAAGAATTAGAGCTTTCCATTCCATGTTACGTTTTTGGGATAACCACATTGCTAGAATGTAGGCTCTACAAATATTTTTAGTAAAACTTCTAGTTAGATGTTCAATAAAATGCTGATCCCAAGAAATTATATGATGTGGGTTGTAAATGCTTGTGTAGTTAAAATATAGTGAATGTGATGAATTATGTTGTTTTGCAAATGAGTCTGCTAAATTATTAAGAGTGTCATCAGAATGGGCATGTACTTTATGAAAGTAAATTTGGTAATTATAAGATTTGATGATATTAAGCAGAATATACCATATGGGCCATGAGCTAAATTTGAAAAGCTTGTTAGAATTTGAGAGAGTAGTATATATTTTAGAGTATTTAGTAATTATTGATTAAGAATCAGTGTAAATGTTGATTGTAGAATTGTGAGAGGTTATTGAAATAGCTAAAAGAATTGACATTAGTTCAGCTTTATAAGAAGATGGCCAAAAATGGATTTTAGCTGAGAATTTGTAAATTATTTGGTTGGAATCATTTGCTTGTACCCATCCAATACCCATTGTACATTGATTCATATCGATGTCAATTACAGAGCCATCAGTATAGAAGTTAAATGTATTTTGTGCTGTATTGGTAAGAGAATATTGTTTGAGTATATATGTAGCTTCTTCTTGCTTAAAAATTTTTGATATGGGAGAGTTAGAAATATAGATAGTAAGGGTGGAAGGTAGAGATAATAGGTGTTTAATCACAGTTGAATGGATCAGATCAATATAGTTTGTGTTAAAGTTAAGTGCATTAGAAGAAACTCTTCTATGAAATTGTGTAGAAATTATTGACGATACATTAATTGTACAGTGATTTGCAACTCGACAAGAGTTAAGATCACAATCTGTACAAACTGAGCATTGAATTGATGGAAGAGGGTAATGGGTAGAGAGTTCTGTATTAATATTTGTATTCTAGTATGTAATAGATATTTGGTTGTCATGTTTGAAGTATCTATGAATTTTGCCAATAATAATAATATTATTATTGTATGTTAGTAACCAGAGTTTAAGTTTTTTAGAAATATGTTGAGAATTGTAAGCAAAAGGATTGTGTCCAGTTTGTTGATATTGTGGAAGT